TCCATCATAGTATCTCTTTTTCTCATCTTATAAGGAGGTGGACAGAGGTGAGCATTTAGCCGCTTTATAATGAACATTATTTTAATTTTTATTTCATTATACTTTCAGTGGGCTATACACACTGTATGTCCACTGAATACTTCTTAGAATTGGAGAAAAGGATTCTGCTGTAAATTTACAGGTATCTTCAGGATGGTAAGAGAAATTTTACTGGTTACAATCTATTAACTGTGGCATAAGCTCTGCTTTGTGGGGAAAAGTAACATCACGCACTATTCTCACAGAGTTCAAGCCAAGAGTCAGTCCTATCTGTTATGTTTGCAGAGAGTTACATTTGACGCTGATTTAGGTGATTTTCTCCCTACTATTCTCTATTCTGATGCCTACTGATTTTCTCTAGAGGTTGCAGACTTGGCTGCAGAGTGTATGTTGCATGATGCCAGTGAGCAGCCCTCTCCCCTCCAGTTTTGCTCACGCTGGCATTGCCTGCCTTCCCTTTCACAGAGTACCTTCTGTTTTCCCGTGTCCCAGCAGTGCTTCCATACCGTTGCGGAATGCTTTTATTTCGCATTTAAAAAATATTTTATTCTTTCACTTACTACTTACCAGGTTTTTGCTCTATTTGCCAAACTTTTTTCCTATTATATTCCCCACTCTCATGTATTTATTTGCAGAGAAAAAAAAAACATAGCATGAAGCACAAGTAAAACGTTACTTATTGGTCTGAATAAGAGTCCTGCATGCCCTTAGCATACTGATATGTGAATATGAGGAGGTGTCATATTTAGACAGAATAATTTCCCAATGAATAAGTAACAGTGAGAAAACAGTACTGTGATTTTTCCTATTGATTATTTAGATGTAATAGCCACAGTTTTAGGTCTTTGTGGCTAGAACAAAATACAAATGCTTGAGAAGACTTTCCAAAACACTGCTCGTGTTTTTTAACACACACAGTGTAAGAGCTGTTTTCCACATTTTCTTTTCTTCCATGTACTTTTGCATGCTAGATAGTAACTAATTTGAACGAAACAGTATATTGCGCACTAGTTAGTTGAAATACAGTTGTCCTAGTCACAAATAATACTGGGACTAAAACTCACAGCAGCAGTGGCTGGAGGAAAAGTAAATCCAGTTGTAAATCAAGGGAATACTGTGCTGGTGTGTAACTTATTTATACTTTTATCCCCAGCATGCTTTTGTTTTAACAACTCACTGCTTGTACTAAGAATTTTCAATGCTTGATATGTCAGAATGAAATTTAAAATATCACATCCCACTTCTGATTTTGGCTGGAACCATTCATATCAAGATGAATTTTGGGCCAACTAGCAGAATAAAAGAAAGCCTTACTCTGCTGAAGGAAAAAGTATATATTATTCATATAAACCTATAAAAGCCTAAGTAGAAAAATAAACACTGATGCAATATTAATGGATATGCTCACGGAAGGGAAAAGGATCATTTACAACCTAAATTCAGACGTCGGTGCTATGATATTGGGATAGCTCATCACTGAAGACACCTGCGGGAGAACATCAGCTCTCCCACTCCTTTGGTCAGTAACAGCACTGTGGGGGTTGCCGATGGAGAAGGTCTTTGCTGCAAAGGAGCAGCAGCTGTGAAAACACCAGAAAAGACCAACTTTGAAGCATTCTGTACTGAAAAATCTGGAGGATGCCAGGAGGCTCTGAAGACAGCCCTTCACTTGCCTGCCCCAGCATCTATCATTAGTTATAATAGAAAGAGGTCAGTTCCTGTTTGTTCTCGCAGCCCTCTCACCTCCACACCCGCTGGTCCATCCTCCTCCGCTCTTGGCCGTGACCGCTCCATCTATTCCCCAGCCTCACGCTGCACACGAGCATGAATCCCTGATCAGCATCCAGAGAAACAACTCGCCTCCTGGGGCCGCTGGGCCAGTTACCTTCCTGGCTATGTCACCACCTTCCCTCCTCCAAGAGCTACAGCCAAAAAGGATAAAAAGTGCAGGCCACCTGGATGCCAGCCCCGGGGAGTCCACGGGCACCGGGCTCACTCGCGACCGCCTGCAGCATGGCGCCAAGCAGCGAGGTGTGGAAGCGTCACACAAAAAGCACCTGTGGCACTCGGCACATCGGGCAGCCCAAATGTTGCCTAATCTGCTGGGAAACCTGTGGCTTACAGAAATCGCTGAGTAAGTGCCTTTCCAGATACGCAGTAAAAAATGGACGTGGACTTGGCTCTAGTATTCAGCAGCACAATACATTTTAAGCAGCTGGACAAACTCCCAGAAACATTTTCATCTATGGACAGTTGTCCATTAACAATTTGTTTGCCTCTGTACCAGCCAATGCTATTCCTATTAAAAAACGGAAGGCTTCAGAGACCCAGATGCTGATGCGGTGCTTTGTGAAAGCTCAGTTCCACCATATCTTTGTGTTTAGATATAGTATATCTGTCAAAGCAGCACCTCGTGTGCAGTGCAGGGAGAGCTTGAGAGTCATCATCTGGCATCTCTGCCCCATCCTTCCGAGATACCGTCACAAAACTTCCTGTCTAGATGGATAGGCACAGCGGTTGGCTCACTCTCTGGTCCATTGACTTCTCTTTGCAGAGATACAGGTTGGTCATCCTAGGCATTTCATGACTGTGGATCCCACTTGAGGAATCAAACCAGGGAGTTTGGATAGTTAGAAAATACCGCTCAGGAACCACCATCAAGCCATTTGGCCAAAGCAACCTCAATGCTAACTTTGTCAGGGAGCTCCCATATCCACAGTAGCCTGCCAAGAGCTTCTTCCCCTGGCAGAAACCAAACTCAGGGTAGCAAACATTATCCAGTGGGTGCCCCCAAGCTGTGACTATGAGCAGGCTTGATCCCACTCCATACTGACAGAAAAAGGGCTGCGAGCAGACTGTTTTGTGTAGTCTGCTGCTTGCATTGTGCAGATCCATGTTGTAAGGTCTACTGTAATGAGGATGGCGCAAGGCTATCTAGTGCAAAGTTGTTGCGGGGCAGAAAGGTGGAGAGGGGTTTTAAACTGTCCACATACTTGGTCATTAGATGATGTCTGAGGCAAAATGTGTTGCTCTATTACCACTTTTTGCCTCCGATGGTTCTGTGTGTCAAAATGTGTGTAAATTTGTTCATAGTACAGGATCTAGTAAATAAATAAGAATATATAATGTAATGTAATGTAATGTAATGTAATGTAATGTAATGTAATGTAATGTAATGTAATGTAATATAATATAATATCTGCTTATTTCAGAGGAAGAAAGACAACCTACTCCTTAAAGTTGTCTTCCTCACACTCCCAGACCTTCGTATCACTGAGCTTGAAATAAAGTTAAACCACCACTTCTTAGAAGTGGACTTGGGCTGATAAAGTGTAACTGTGTTAAATATGACCAAAAAAACCTGCACAATGGGATGTTATCACAATTGCTTTCACTTTTTCAGAATGGCCTATTAGTGTTCTTTTACAGTAGAAACTGAAGTGCTTAGCTCCTTCAACATCTTTTCCTTAGTAACAAGCTGAAATGCCTGGTTTATTTGATCAAACATCAGGTTTAGTTTCCTTTTTGAATCTCAGCTCTCTATTTTGCCACATCTGATTCAGAACTGTGTCCTTCCAAAGGACGAAATTTGGTTTAGGAGTACTAAATCCTGAGTTCCTATCTGTGGTGGTGGAAATTAAGATCCTAGATCAATAGGTTTTATTTTCTTTGAGCAATGGAGAAATTTCTTTCCCAGTCCTTAAGTACAATGTCCCTCTACAAATTCCTTCATGCCAATCCCTCTCAACTATTGAGTATGCTATGTTAGGTACTAGGCATTATAAATTAGCTATGTGGTCCCCATGCTCGTGCGCTTTTAGGGTCTTGTGGAATGACAGCAACTATCAAAAAATGTTTACTGGCTTCCTCCATTCTTTATTTTTTTAGCTGTAGTGATATCACTATGTATTTTATGACAGCTCTGCCTTTCAGCATCTTTTACTCATGAAAGCATCAATCCCCTTCCCTTAGCTCTTTCTGTGGCTCATAAAGCCATTGATAAAATCTCTGTCATTGAAATCCCGTGGTTCAAGCTGAATCAGGGTTAGGTTCAGCTGAATCAAGGCTCAGCTTGGTCTCCTTTTCATTCTGATTTCCCTGTCATATCTGCGTGGCGTCTGTTCTTTCATTTATCATCTGTGCCGGGGTAGAAGAGTTCAGCTGCACAGCTGCATGCTACGTTAGTTATTCAGAGCAGCACTGATGCTTTATGAAAGCGGCCTGCAGCCATCAGGCAAGAAATTATATAGGTTTCTAACAGAGGAGAGACAGATGTCAGTGTGCATTCTCCTGTGGGAAGAATAACTAGTTTTATAAAAAGAGCACTGGCCCAGTTTTTGAAAGGTAGAATGAGTGGCAAGGTTTGGTGCCCAAGTATGTCTGAGGTGCTGCACACAATCACTTCTTTCTCTTTTTTGTAAAGCCTGTAGACCTTGGACTGTATCCTGACCATCATGGAAAGCTGGATTTAAGAAGAAGAATTATCTAAAGGTGATAATGCAAACACTGTATGAGATTGGTAAAAGCACTCGGCATAAATATTTCTTCTTTCTAAGTTTCCCATGTGCTAGGGACTCCATGACAATGAGAATGTCCTTTGCTGACAAAACATAACCAGCCCTTGTGCCCTCTGCCAGGATCTCCTGGATAAAAACAGGCATTAATCAATGGAAAATGAGAGACTATTTCTTTGGAGTAATTGTTGTAAAGGGGAAGAAACAAATTAGCAAAAAAATTCCAGTACTGCAGTTAATCTCAGACCAAACTTCTGGACCTTTGCTCCTATGAAAAGAAAAGGAAAGGAGAGAATACCCATGAGATAGATAGTAACACACCAAAATCCCACTTCTCAGAAGCCTGTATGGCAAAGTCTCCCATTCGTTGACAGAAGAGACACATATGAAGTCATGCAGCATGAGTATAACAAAGCAGAATAAATCCTGAAAGTGCCGGGCACCATCCTACCTTTCCTGGAGCCCCACAGGTTTCATTCTGAAAGGAGATGGACTGGCACACAGGGGAGGTTTGAGCTCAGGAACTCCTTGACCTTGAGGGTCCACTACAACATTGACAGCCTTAGGAGCCTGTTCAGGCTGGACCATACTGTTGGTGGTCTTAGACTGAGACGTCTGCAGGGGAAGGGGCGAGAGGTGGATCTCCTGCTTTTTTTCCTTCTCTTGCCTCAGTGACAACTGAATCTTCTCCTTTAATCTGTACAGAACCTACAGAAATAAAGAGGAAAGCCTAATCTCAGTTCCCTGGTAAACAAGGCAAGGAAAGTGTCACAAATGCTGGATAAGATTGCTCTATGGGACTTTCATTCCTAGAAGGTAAGCCACAAGTTGTGTTACACGACGTTTCCCCCAACAGGATAAATATTTTCATTACATAAACCACAGTGTGTACATGTGGGTGGTAGGGATTTTAACAGTTCTCATTGCGAGCCAGTAATCATTTGTAATACCAGCAGTTGTATTATTAAAGGAGCAAATAACATAGAATGGAAAATAGTTACAAAAGATACTGTGAAGAAGGAAATACTGACAGATAGAGTACTTGTAGAAAAATTTGTAAGAATTTTGACAAAAGAGAGACAATGGCACAAAATAAAATAGATGCTCATGATACACCCAGGTACATGTCTCTAATTATAGGAGCTTCCATTTGTTCTAGAACAGATGTTCTTAAAAGCTCTTTCTCATTTTGCATGGAGCTGATGGTTGAACAGAGTAACTTTTCTAGGCCACTTTTGTAATGGTAGGCTGCTACTACTCTGCAATACTCCTTAGGATAAAGATATCCCTCAATAACCTCAGAGAAACATAACATGTTCTGCAATAAAGCTGAAGCGATGCGTGGCCTATGAAGCTATTTAAGCATCTGTTCAGAAAATTGTGTTTTACAATTACCAAGACATTGACGTCTGAACATACTGTAATACCAGGATTCTCTGTTCACCTATTGCTTATGAACTTGGATGTCAAATACCTGCAGCAAAAGCTTTTCAGAAGTTGTACTGACCCTCTTCCACCAAACTCCACACTGCTGTTGCTGTACCCCCGCTTGGTGAGGGCCGTCAGGTAGCGTGTGCTCGGTAATGTCACTCCAGAGGAACCTGTGTTACACCTATTTAACACATCCTGTCTCTCGAGGGGAATGCAAAAAAAGATTTCTGAGCTGTAGTTATGCCATTTTCAAAATGTGTCTTACAACCTATGAAACTTATGAGAATTACTATCGTAAGTATCGTGTGCGGAGGTGCGTGGGTGAAAGGCACTTACACAGCTTTTTGAAGGTGTCTGCAGATATCCTTATGCCTTCTACTCTGCTTTATCTGTTGCTGTAAAGCATTTGAATTGAATCCTGGTTTGCAAAGCCATAAAGACAAAGCCTAGGCCAAAGCATATTTCCACTGCAAGTCAGAAACTCTTTGACAGCTGTTGGCCTACTAGTACCACATAAATATCTGGCACTCCATAGCTTTCCAGTGAAGACTTGATATATCTGACAAGTTTGTTTTTTCAAGGATTAGCATTAGAGGTTTATCTGGGAACTGACCTAATGTCATTAGCAATACATCCATTAAACAAGACTTAGCTACGTAAACCATCTGTTCATTCAGAAGAGTTTAGAACTAAATTGCATGGATAAGATAAGCTGCTCTTTGCCGTTATTTTGCAAAGAAAACAGCCCTTCTGTGAAGCAAGGACACAGGTATCAATAAAGATAAAGCAGGGGCTTGAAATAGTTTAACCCTCTCTTTGTCCAGTGATTGCTTCGGTCTTATTTGTTTCTAGTAACCCACAGATATGCAGCTCAGACACTCACAGTCATGATAATATTAGCCATACCTTCTTATCACTGATATATTTTGACATAGTTTCAACCCTTGGAGACCCAGGGAATTATGGTTTTGACTTCCAAAAACATGGAAGAGATTTATTTTATAATGGTTTTTAATACTTTATTATTAGACTCTAGGAAGAAAGATAGCCTGCCAGTAGCAGAAGTTGAAAAAAAGCTAAAGAACCACAGATGATCTAAGAGCTAACATACTTTCCTCAAAAAGTGCGGTCAGGACCATCATGTTTTTAACGAATCCCAGGTGAAAGTCAAACAAACAGAAATGGCCAAAAAGACGGTGATCAACCCAATCACCAAGCTCTGCAAATGGAACAACTTAGTTGTAATCATAATTCAAATCATTTTAAACAGATCTGTCAGTATGGACAAAAACAGATATGAAGCCTCTAAATTAGGAAAACTGAGGTTTTACTGATACCCCAGAAGATTCATTGTGAGGATAATCAAGAGGCATGGAGCAACTGAACAGCGCGAAGTACTACTTTCCAGGACAGACAAGGTGCGTCACCTGTAATTTTTTCATATATTAAGCCTAGGGTTCAAAGCCAAAGTCCAAAAGAAAAATAACTCTTCTTTCTCCTTCCTCTTTGACTCAGCTTATAGGGAAGGATGACAGGGTGCTGACAGCATGACATTCACTCTTTATATCTCTGCTCATATTTCTGCAACGGAAAGCTGACATGTTACGCCCTAGCTTGGCCAGTACCTCCTACCTACCCCTTCAAAATACCAGTGGAAACTGCTTTTATCCATCTTCAGAGATGGACAGGAAATCCCAGCAAGATAGCTATGTCTCCAGAACAAAGATCTTGGCAATGTTTATGTGGAGCAATGATACAAAAACTCATCTGCCTAGAGATATTTAGGGCACCCAGGACTGTATAGTAAAATCTCCCGGAAACCATGGAAATGAAGACAGTTCACTCTAATTAAAAGCATTCTTTCTAAAAAATTCTCATCAATATGTGTGTGAGGCTGCATGTGTATTTCTGCATGAACAGAGCTATTGTGCATGTGTATACATGAGAAGAAAATCGGGTAACAAAATTTCCATCAAACCCTGGGGAAGGGCTGAAAGAATAAAAACGTGACAGATGTTAGTCGTGTTGCTTGATGCATTACTGGGAGGGATTTGGATACTCTATGATTTGAATGCAGTATAAAATGTTCAACAGGAGCAGAATAAAACACTTCAGACAATCTACGATGAGCTTATAGACAAACCCCCTAATTTCAAGTTGACCAAAACACTCTTACAGTATGATATAAATATATACCATTAATTTTTATTTAAATCTTTAAGCCTGCAAAAGCTGAAGTTGATAGGCTGATATTAGCTAGTTGTATATATTCTATAATCAAAGTGCTTTCAGAAGTCCTGCACCACTTTGTGATTCTTGAAACTTTTAAGTTTAAGAACAAGAGGTAGGTCACATGGAAATTTGAGGCTGGAATGCATTTTTTTATTATTCAATATTTTTCTTGTTAAAAGAATACCATCATGAAGCTGGAAAAATATTTATCATTTGAGTAACTATCTCCCCAAAACATGACATAAATGTTCATAACTCAGAAAACACTGGAGACAGTAGTAAAAATTTATAACCTTACAAAAGTTCATGGAATCATAGATTGAGAGAATAGTTTGGGTCAGAAGGGACTTTTAACTGAGGGACAGGATGCCACCCATAGGGACCTGGACAAGATCAAGGAATGGACCTGTGTGAATCTAATGAGGTTCAACAAGGCCAAGTGCAGGGTCCTGCACCTGGGTCGGGGCCACCCCCGGTATCAATACAGGCTGGGGGATGAAGGGATTGAGAGCAGCCCTGATGAGGAGGACTTGGGGGTACCGATGGATGAAAAGCTGGACATGAGCCAGTAACGTGCGCTCGCAGCCCAGAAGGCCAACTGTATCCTGGGCTGCATCAAAAGAAGCGTGACCAGCAGGTCAAAGGAGCTGATTCTGCCCCTCTACTCTGCTCTGGTGAGACCCCACCTGGAGTCCTGCATCCAGCTCCGGAGCCCTCAGCACAGCAAAGACATGGACCTGTTGGAGAGGGTCCACAGGAGGGCCACAAAAATGATCAGAGGGGTGGAACACCTCTCCTATGAGGACAGGCTGAGAGAGTTGGGGTTGTTCAGCCTGGAGAAGAGAAGACTCTGAGCAGACTTTATTGCATCCTTCCAGTACTTCAAGGGGGCTTATAAGAAAGATGGGGACAGACTTTTTAGCAGGGTCTGCAGCTATAGGACAAGGGTAATGGTTTTAAACTAAAAGAGGGCAGATTCAGACTAGATCCAAGGAAGAAATTTTTCCCAATGAGGGTGATGAAACACTAGAAAATGTTGCCCAGAGAGGTGGCAGATGCCCCATCGTTGGAAACATTCCAGGTCAGGTTGGACGGGGCTCTGAGCAACCTGATCTAGTTGAAGATGTCCCTGCTCATTGCAGGGGAGGTGGACTAGGTGACCTTCCCTTCCAACTCAAACTGTTCTATGATTCTATCCTATGATTTAAAGATCACCAAGTCCAAACCCCCCTGCCATAAGCAGGGACATCTTCCACAGGTCAGGTTGCTCAAAGTTCATGTCTTTCATTATTTTCAATGAAAAAAAACCCCTACTTTTTGATTATATTTTTCTTAGTTGGAAAAAGAGAAACATTTAGAAAATCCTTCTATCACAACTAGCTACAAATATTTCTGAAGGTGATACTTCCAAACTACTCAACAGATACTTATATGTACATATTTTTGAAAAAAAAGCAAAAATAATTGTTTATTAAAACAAGCAAATTTAGTAAGAAGTATGATAACAAATAATTTAACCCACTGTCAAATATTGTGTTTTTTAATAAATTTGGTGATGGCTCAGTTATTTCTCTATTTATGTAAAATAAAAAAAAAACTAGAGACACCTGTTTTACACATAGGAGTGCTAAAAATATTTATTATTACTTAGCACTTCTTTTGAAAAACTTTATAAATCATGTACGATGTTCCCGGTGGACGTGAGCCCATGGTCAGCCCATGATGAGGATAGCAACGAGCTGTGTGTTGGCTTCCACATATGATGAATCGCTCCTGGGATGCAAGAGGTTCCCCTACCACAATAGCGAGGACTAGCTGAGTAAATACATAAAATGACCTCAGAGGTACAATTTACAAGTCTGAGCTTAGCTCATGTGCTGCTGTATTACACTCTTTAGCAATACACTGCACTGCAGATTTTTATGTATAGAGGCCAGATATTTATTAAACTTCAGCCAAGCATTAAGAAGCCTAAAAGCTGTTAATGCACAGTGCGCTCTCAGCGCAGGGAAGCATCATGATTTGTGACACCCAGTTAGGGGTCAAGGCTTCACGTTTTACAATTTCTGTAGAAATTACACAGAACTAAGCAATACTACTGACAATTCAGCTGCCTTACACTGAGCACTGTTCATCATCATCATCATCATCATTTAAAGCACTTCCTACTCCATACTTTAAAGATGAAACATTTCCAAGTCATTTACAGATGCAGGCTAAGCTTCCTGCTTTTGGACCCTCTAAACTACACATAACTACCTATGGACAAACAGGTGCCTAGACGGTAACTTTAAAAAAGAAGCTGCATTTTGATTGTCTCATATGGTTGATACAGCCAAAGCTACTTAGGGTGAGCCCTAATGCCTTATGCTAAAGCTGGATGGTCTGATAGACTGCAATGGCTGAATTTGAAATACCGAATTCCTACTTTTCATAAATCTGCCCCTCTGACACACATAAAGTGGGATGAAAACCAAGGATGTGTGCTGTTTGTTAGCCTTATAGATTGCACATACTCCATGTGTCAGCAGGTCCTGGCAAAATCGGAAACGGTGTCCATTTATACAGTTTATAAAATAGCACACATAAAGATACAGGTTGGACCTGAGAGGGGACAGAAAGGGGAATGCCTGCAGAAAAAAAACACAGCATCATAGTAAATCCATCTGGAAGAGAATTCAAGGAGTTTGCTAGTATTTACCTCTGCCCTAACTCCAGATCAGCTACACCCAAACTATTACTGACAGATGCTTGCCTAAAACCTTAATGGGTGAAAAGTCCTGAGCTTCCTCAAACACTCCAGGGTCTAGTGACCCATGTGATAACAAAGTTCTTTCTAATGAGTCAGTCGAATTGCCCTTTCAAAAAATTTGCTTCTTTTCCAATCCCCAGTGGAGAAAGCATTATCTTCTTCCTTACCACAGCCTTTGAAATTTTCCATGTTTGAGAACTGCCATCTTTCTCCTTGCTCTTCTTTTCTCTGTCATAAATAAACCAAATTATTTCAAGTTTTCTCTATCTCTGATCACTCTTCTATCTCCTCCTTACTATAATTGCCTGACATTTTTCACAAGTGTGGTACCCGAAAGAGACCACAGGGAATGAGTAAGACACAATACTATAACCAAATTATTACCAGAGCCAAGTTGAATGCAGATCTTAGAGATCATATCCTCGTTTATACACCCGAAGACAAGAAGTTTATTTTTTGCAACAATGTGATATTTCTCATTTACTTCAGTGTGTGCTTTGTGGTACCGCTGGAACCTTTCCTACAGAGCTGTTGCTTTGCCACGTATTTCCTACATTGTATTGATGCACGTGATTAGAGCTCTTGCCCCTGCCAAGCAATGTTCTTGTCATTTCCCGTCTTTTCTCCAGCACCTTAAGAATATTTTAAGTTCTGATACTCTTCTCCACAATGCTTACAATTCCCAATACTGTCTATGCATTCCAAATAATCAATGAGAACATTGTGTAGTACCAGGACAAGGACAGACACCATATTCTATACACTTCCAGTTAAACAGTCAGTAATGACGAAAATATCTGCTTCTCCAAAGTAAAAAGGCTGAATAGAAGTTAGTACTTCCAGAGATACCCTTCTATTTTTGAGTAAGATAGCATGGAGAAATGGAAATGACTAGGAAGTAGAAGTTATATAAGGCAACAATTTTTGTGAGAACATAAGTGCTTTTCAAATCTTAGGGAGATTTTAAAAGCTTAAATAAGATTTTGCTATAAATGTGATAGTTTATTAATAACTTTAGTTTAAACATTCTTTCCATCTTAAGGTTGTAAGTGGGAAATCCATCTAGATTAAAGAAAATTAAATGTGCTTGAAAGCAAGATATCTCAAAAGGCTCCAAGATACTATGTGTTCATAAATGCCAAGAATTGTCATAGAATTCAGTAAACACTTACATTTATGCACCACAGAAGAAATATACAATTCAGAGAAGGAAAACATGTGAGATGATACAACATTGGAAAAAATGCATAATTATGATATGGAAGTCAGGGGTGGTGCACTGTTGACTACACTTCTTCTACACATCTTCTGTGTAACCCTTGCACTCTCAGATTCAGTGTATTAGAAGTATGTCTAATGCCCAGAAACCTGGCCAATGAACTCATATAATGTGAATGGCAAAGTTGTTAAAAAATATGGTCCCTCCTTCATGTACTTCCTAGTCATTTCAGTTAAAACTTGTATACTTGATACATGCATACTGACACACACTCTAACAACTGTGCATTGACAGTATTGTGTCAATGTGGTGTTGTTTTTATTATCCAATAAAACTGAAATACAGGCAGCTAACGTGACATCAGGGATCCTGGGACCTTAGTAAGAAGGTTGAGAAGTCATCACTCATGTCACTACACAGTTACTCTGCATATTTAAGAGCCCATTATTTATTTCTGCAGCTTTCTACTTACATTCTTCAACTGGACTCAAAGTATATAACGAAATGTGGTTCTTCAAACTTTGGCTTCACAGCATTATGAGAATGACCAACTCTTACCTACTAGCTGAGTTTTTAATAGCTTTGAGAAAACACCTCTCATGTAAAGAATGTGTGACTCTATCCTTCAGACTGAGAAAAGCATGAAGTAAAGAACAGCGAAAAAAGGTAAAAAGGGAACTTACCATTAAACAAGTTACTAGAATGACAAAGATGCTGAGAAATATGACAACCGCATAAAATCCTTCTTTGCTCCAGATTTTGTCTGCTTCACGCTGGCCTTGCAAAACATTTTTCTTTTTTAAGCAATAAAACAGAAAGAGGAAGAGAAAAGAAGTTACACAGTAGCGTGCGCAGATTAAATAGCTCTCGTCAGGCATTAATCACCCTCCTCAGCTTTGTCACAGTTCACGTTCCACAGTGTATGGCACTCGCTTTGAACGCTGCTATTTGCATACCCACCTCGGCTGCGCACCCCGCCTGCACCCTGTGCGTCCGTGTGCGTGCGTGCCGAACGCTACGCGAGATGATCTAAGACCTTCTCTGTGGCTGCCGAGATAATCCTCCACCAGGAGTCATGGGTTGGTTGAAGGTAAGCAAACAAGACCTGTGGTCTTTCTTGGAAACTACCTGGCTCATCAGGTAAAAGGGCAGCGCTCCCGCGTGGGCTGCGGACACCGCTCGCCCTGCCTCTTTCTCCCCACTGCTTATCTGCGGCCCCAGCACCCACGCACCAGCCTCGGGAGTGTTTACACTTGACACAGGAGCAAAGAGCAGGTGACTTGCCGGATTGCCTTCATGAACCGGGAAGCCCTGACGCCGTCACCTTTAGGTTACACACACACATATATCTGCATATGTAAAAAAAAATCTGATTATGCTGAAAGAAATCTCATTATCCGCCTATCTATAATTCTGATTATGCTTAAAGTAATCTCATTATTTTTGCTGACAGTACATTTCAAAAACAGCTGTGCACACGAAAATTTCCAGGACTCCTGGGGAACGCCTGGGGATCATGAAATAATAATAATTGTAAAAGCATTTATTTTTGGCTTTATTGCAGTGTAGGGACTTGGTTGGGCTATTTAATTACCGGAATTTCACTATGTTTCCAAACAGAGATTTGGTAAAAGAAACAGGGTACATGTACCCTCAATAGACTGAAGTATGTCATCTTGTGTTTCCATGACAGTAGTTCAGTAGGCATTGCTGTCGCAATTTTCAGCTACTTGCTTTTCTTTTCTTAATTGTGTATTTTCAGTACAGTTCTCAGTCTGAGTAAAAACTAATTTCTTAAATTCTGGTTTCCACACTAAATGTTCAAGATCTTGGTGTTCCCTCTCGCTGAAATTCCCAAATGGCTTTAATTAAACTTCTTGTTTAACTAGTTCGTTGTCTTCCCATCTCAAGGTGGCCTTTTTTCCTCTCTCGGGACATTGCATAAGAGGACTGGGAGTTTTCCACAAAGGAAAGAGTTCCTCCATTTAAAGATGGGGCAACCCCTGGGATCAGTACAGGCTGGGCAATGAAGGGATCAGGTGCAGCCCTGCTGAGAAGGACTTGGGGGTAGAGGTGGATGAAAAGCTGGACAAGAGCCAGCAATGTGTGCTTGCAGCCCAGAAGGCCAACTGTATCCTGGGCTACATCAAAAGGAGTGTGACCAGCAGGTCAAAGGAGCTGATTCTGCCCCTCTACTCTGCTCTGGTGAGACCCCACCTGGAGTCCTGCATCCACCTCTGGAGCCCTCAGCACAGCAAAGACATGGACCTGTTGGAGAGGGTCCACAGGAGGGCCACAAAAATGATCAGAGGGGTGGAACACCTCTCCTATGAGGACAGGCTGAGAGAGTTGGGGTTGTTCAGCCTGGAGAAGAGAAGGCTCTGGGGAGACCTTATTGCAGCCTTCCAGTACTTCAAGGGGGCTTATAAGGAAGATGGGGACAGCTTTTTAGCAGGGTCTGCAGCTATAGGACAAGGGGTAATGGTTTTAAACTAAAAGAGGGTAGATTTAGACTAGATCCAAGGAAGAAATTTTTCTCAATGAGGGTGGTGAAACACTGGAAAATGTTGCCCAGAGAGCGCGTAGATGCTCCATCCCTGGAAACATTTCACGTCAGTTGGATGGGGATCTAAGCAACCTGATCTCGTTGAAGATGTCCCTGCTCATTGCAGGGGAGTTGGACTAGGTGACCTTCCCTTCCAACCCAAACTGTTCTATGATTCTATGAGTTGCTGCTCACTGGATTTGTGTAACTGCAGGGACCTTCTAGCACTTTACATGGGTACTTCATTCTCCCAAGTCTTCATAGCCACTGATTAGCCTGCTCCTTTGAACAGGTAATACATCAAGCTAAGTCCTCGTGTCCATCAACCTCCCAAACATAGAAACTCCTGATGAAGTTGAATTGATGTGGAAAGGTCTGCTGAGGAGGAGGAGGTTATGGTCTGGGTAAGAGAGGAAAAGTGGACAAAAACCTGCTGCATGCTGGATCCCAATATAATTTTCATGGTCCTTTCAGCACAGGTTTGTGCCCTGCTTTCTTTGAAAAGGGTAAGGGCAATGCAGATTCAAGTCAATGCAGACACAACGGCAGATCATGCTGCCACAAAATGCAAACATTTAGAGAAGTATTTGGTAGCATAAATAATTTACAGGGTCTTGCTTGCTAAAAAAAAATAATGCATGTGTACAACCAGACATTGTCTGCTTTCGAACTGAAAGCATAAATAAGAGTTTTCTTTGGACGTCGTAACCCTAGGGACCGGAGTGGAAATCCTTTACTCCCTTCTGCTGAACTACAGAAACAAACCTTGTAAAATTAGTGTGTTTGTGTATGTGTAATCATGCAGTGCTTCACTATCTGGGCCTAAAAGTACTGTGGGTATTGACAGGTTAACAAGGATTATAAGCATCAGTCTTGAACCTTTAAAGCCCTGGAAGCAGGGCTTTCATAAAATCATGGAATCATAGAATCTTTGGATTGGAAGGGACCTTTAAAGGCCATCTAGTCCAACCGCCCTGCAATGAGCAGGTTGCTCAGAGCCCCGTCCAACCTGACCTGGAATGTTTCAGGGATGGGGCATCTACTAGCGCTTCTACTTCTACCACTGCTTCTACGTCTACATTTCAAAGATAAACTGGAAATCTTGCCAAATATTTCTGCAAAAATTATTCCTAGACATATCCAAACAGCATTGCCACTCTAATGGGGTGCAGCTCTCCGTGCAATCTGCTACCTCAGCACAGCAAGATTGTTCTGCTGTGATCACGGCACAGGACTTGGGTCTCGATACTGGCTCAGAGCCCAAATCTGCAGCTGCTCCATACTCGGGACTGCTCCTGTTGTGCTCCATGGGAATCCCACGGCGACAGCAGCAGCTGCAGCTTTGTCCCATTAGCTATAAAGTACGTGTTTGACCCTGGGTGGGTTACCTGATGGCTTTCCAGTGTTTTAGATCTCTCGGGAGGAAATCTAGATGAAAAGCAGAAGTTGAAGGAGAATTGGCCATGCTGACGTTTTGTAAGTGAGTAAATGGGGGTTTTTGTACCTCTTTGCTGTAAGGACAAGTACACTAAAAAGCAAATGAAGAGCTAATAGGACTTTTTGACTCAATGGGTGAGAGACTTTAATTAACTGTAATTCATTAGTGTCACAAAACTTTTAAAATACTTTGTAATAGACTTTGCATACATAATTGTGTCTAAGAATTAATCTCCATGATGTCTGTCTAATGGTACATGTGTTCAGGATGCTTTTTTCCCTGGTTTGTCTTTCTAAAAATAAAGTTCAAAGAATATTAACAAATGCTGTAAAAAAAGTAAAAAAAAGTATGCCACAACTTCAACGTCTCACACACCTTTCTGAAACACTGAAGTAGTTCCTTCACCTAACCAAGGAAATCTCTGCCCCATATCTATCTGAGCAGTATGCAGCACAGCAGAATCATTGCTTTCAAGCTGCTCGCTAATGACAGAACAGGCTGTGACCTACAGTAACTGTGAGTCATTTCACGCCCACGATAAGGAACTGCTTTCTGAAACTTCAGTGCTGTTCATTCAGAACTTTGTTCCTCAGCCTGGGAGGACTGATAAGAGGGATGGCAACTGCCACGTTCTCCACAAATTATTGACACCCAGGAAACGTAAGCTCACAGGATGGCCAAATGCTGTGGAAAAAGCAAAAAAAAAAAAAAAAAGAGGACTTCCGTCCGTCACCATGGGCAATGAGCCTCACACATGATGTGCTGTGTCTCAACTGACTGATGTTACTTCACATTTCTCTCACTCAGTTGGGTGCCTTTTCCTGCCTGAGAATCTGCTAAGACTTCTGGATAGTTTTTGAGAGTGGGAATGCACCAATGTATTTAGAAAAATTTTTTTTTTTTTTTTTTTAAAGACATTAAAAATCTACTCTGGCCTTTCTGGTCTTATTATGGAAAGATAGTGGATTATTTCTATAAACGAATAAAATGAGCCGCCAGCTTTTTATAGCAACAAGAGAGACATTGACGTGAAGTAGTCACTGTAAAATCTGTGACTGAAAGATCCTGCCAAGGTATCAGGAGCTGCCAGGAAAGGTAAGTCTTCACGGGAAAACAGGTGAATTTGCAAATTCAGTCAGTTAACCCCAATTAGTTCCTTGGGCTGATACACTAATGAAAGCACTGCAAGCTGTAGTTCTGAGCTCAGAGGAAACCTTACAGGGAGCTGGGAATCGAATTTAAGATCAAAAAGGGTTCACTGAAGTTCACACTGACTTGCTTTGCTTTTTCTGCTATTTTAACTATGTTAGCTGAGGCAGGTTAGGAAAGTCTGCCAAGAAATCACTTCCAGCCTCAGTGAAAACATACAGGAACATGGGCGACCACTCAGGCTCCCAGGACACTGGATAACAGCCACTTAACATCTCCCACGACAAAGCTTCCCCAAAGAAGCCTGTGCGATAAAGTGCTGTGATTTCACGCCAAAGCTGGCGGGCCCGCAGGGCTCCCGACCCTCTCGCGGTGCTCTGGGTGCACCCGTGCAGGTGTCTCGCTGCAGCTGCCTTGCCTGATCACAGGAGCCCGTCCTCGTGCTCTGCTTCGTTCCCGGGCGCCGCTGTCGGTCTAGGCTGTTGTAATTTCTAAGCTATTGGTTTTGATCACTCTCCTTACAATGGCTTATGGTTTCTGTATGCTTTAAGTGCATGACTGGTTCCTTTGATTTCTTCTCTAAGAAGTTAACAATGCACACTTCAAAGGCAACCAGAAGCCTTGTGCAAGGAGGCTGTAATGGTACATTACGTATTGAATAATTTTGGCATCAACTCTGGAAAATTCTCTTTTAGTGCCACATCTCCCAGCTGGCAGTTAGGTTATCTCTCAAAAGACAGTAACCTTTATTTTACTTACTGTAGCTTCAGTTATTTTTGTCATTCAAAACCACTTCAAGTTCTCTCCTACTCTACTAAGCTCTGAAATCCAATAGCATTTTCTTTTTTTCTCTGAGCACAATTTAAAAACATTAGGAAGTCAGGATTCCTGCACCATAACAACATGGACTGCCTGAGTCATTAAATTTAGTCCTACCAACAGGCACCAATTCAGTAGCTTGTTCTGGGGAAGCCTGCTCCTGGCCCTGCTACACACCATACAGCAGAACGCAATCCTAAATCCCACTTCAGACACAAACTTCAGACTATCATAGAAGAGCAAATGCTACAGCTACAATAGGCCATTGGAAGAGAAAGGACATACGGAAGGTATTGCCATTGTCCTGGATCTCTGAAAGGGCGACGACTCCATCAAATTGAATTTTCACATTCCCAGATGTACACAATCTGTTCTACACCAGGCAGCAAAAGACTCCACTGGTTCCTACAGCGAAGGCATATAGGGAATCTGCTTTTTAGCTATTGCAGAGTAAGAAACTAGCATATGAATTTTGAGACAGGCAATTTAATTGAAAATAGAACAATCTGTGATTAATGATTCAGCAGTTGTGAACTGGAAAACTATTGCTGAAATGAATGGAAATGTAGTTCCAGTCACCTACATGCACTGAGACTTTTAATCTTTATGGTAGTTGCATGGGCTGAGACTTTAAGCAGAGAGCTTCAGTTTTCCACATGGATTTTCCTGCATAATCTTGGTAAAGTTTCTTAGGACAGGGTAACCTCCCCCACCATTAACCCTGAACAGCTGGGGGTCAAGTTTAAGCTAAGCCCTGTTAAAAAGAGTCAACCAAACAGTCTCAGGAGAGGTATCACAGAGGTGGGATGAACTGCACGACGGAGGTTAATTTTGTTTTTCTGTTTACTGTAGAGAGAGCCAGCAGACTTTCAAGCCTTAGGCAGCTAATACTGAAACAGGCAGCTAAAAAAGGAGATGAATTTCAGCCCTAACAACTTTGTGTCAGCCACCTGCCTAGAAAGATGAGGATAACGCTTCGTTTCTGCACAGATACACTGTGTATGTACATACAATACTGGTTGTGAAGCATTCAGGCTTTCTGCTCTAAGAGTGTACAATTTATTAGCTCATGAATTAATAAGGATTGCTAGTTCAGGAATAAACACACAAAATGAGTAAAATAATGTGTCAAAGCTACGTAAAGCTTTGTATAACTATATCTTCCTTCAAAGGTTTACCTGTTTTGATTTTTTTGGTGCATTTTGTTTGGCATGATTTGTTCTTAGAGGAAGTTGAGAGAAGAGTAAATAACCAGTTAGTACGAGAGCAAGTAAAGATTATATGTTCTTGTCATTTAGCTGCTGTTTTCTGTGAAGTCTTACACATGTAAACAATTCATCAAGATCCAAAAGGAATACCTATTAGTGTAAAGCTGCATGATTTTTTCAGGCTCAGAGACTTAGCTGTATAATCTGCTAGCAACTGAAATATTAAAATAATCCCTTCTTTCTCCAACAGTATTAGGAGTTAGAGTCTGCACAACTTTCATTCTAATAATCCTTTTCTAAATGATTCTATCTGGTTGTCTACTCTTTTTTTTCCAGAGAGAAAGTTCAAATATCTGAGCACTCCAGATTATTGAAATGTATATACCATAGGTGAGATCTTGAGTTCAGTGCTGTGTTTTTTGCAGCATCTCTTCATAGCCTGATGCCATTTTTCCTCCATTCATCTATTATTCATATATGTTCTTGTTCTGTGTCTACCTGAGGTGTTATTTGTAACTGAAGTACTTGGAACAGATAATTGCATCTATCACAACCATCAGTCTCATATGCTTCAGTAACAAAGGAAATTCTGACCTAAAGGAAGCTTAGCCCAGGTCGCTGAGGGGCGATACAAAGACCTGATTTGATGTTTGAACAGCACTGCTTGGCTTCATTTTGTATTAGAACAGCTGAAACCTGAGAATCTGCTCATTTTCATAGTGGCAGGCTGCTGTAGTAAAGCATGCAAAATTACATTAAACTGGCCTTGGTTTTATATTTCATTTTTTGTTCCAAAGGCAGCTTCCAGATTCTTAAACAGAGTTAGAGTTCTTAAAAAGAGTAAAAGCATATCTAATTAGTAGAAATACAGGTGAACATAACAGACAGTACTAATTCAGCAGTGGCTCAAACATACTTTTGGATGTAAAAAACCACAGGAGCTCTTTACCCACAGGGGGAAACACAGCTTATCAGAACCTCTCCTTTTTTTCCACTTTTTTGGACGTAGACATCTCCTCTGTCAAAATGGGACCTTCCATGGAAAATGCTGATTCTTGATAACGTTTGAAGTTATCCAGACCTCACACTGAATTCTGAGGGTCTTTCTATGTAGGTAAGGGCTTACAAAACACTAAATAAAATGCAATGTGATGTGACCATGTCCAGGAACTCAGTGATTTCCTTTCCTAAAGGCCTTTGCTTTTTCTCATTTGCTGTGCATAGCTCAAGTGGTCAACCCAGAATTAGATGTTCATCTCACTGGTAATGTCTGGGACACTGTGGAGATGGCAGTGCAGTCTCTGCTTTGAAATAGATTTTTTTTTTTCCCTAAAAAATGGATGTAGTCATACAAATGACTACATCCTTTAAGGGGACCTTATAAATGTCTAAAAATACCTGAAGGGTGGCTGTCAGAAGGATGGAGCCAGTCTCTTTTCAGTAGTTCCCAGTGACTGGATGAGGGGCAATGGGCATAAACCTTAGCACAGGAAGTTCCACCTCCACATGAGGAAAAACTTCTTTACTGTGAGGGTGACGGAGAAATGGAACTGCCCAGAGAGGTTGTGGAGTCTTCTTCTCTGGAGACCTTCAAAACCCAACTGGACGTGTTCCTGTGCAACCTGCCCTAGGTGATGATGCCTTGGCAGGGAGGTTGGACCAGATGATCTTCAGAGGTCCCTTCCAACACCTACCATTCTGTGATTCTGTGATTCTGTGAAATACTAGCTACAGGTTTTATTTTTGCCCTCTTTTTGGACCAGGAAAACAAAATAAATCTCCCACTTCTCCTCAGAATAGAAAGAAGTATGGGTACAATGTACAAATTCAGTTTTTTGAAATCATGTCAGACACAAGTTACGCAGGTAGTAATGCTCGCACCTGACATTTGCATTCCATTTATCTCTCTACTGAAATTTTTATACCCGTTGACCCACATTAATAGACCAAAAGCTCTTGGGCCCACTTCCTTTAAGGCAATTGATACACACTTAGGATCTAAACTCTGATTTCAATGGTAGCCCAGCTGTGTGAGGAGGACCTGAATATTAATGCTTAAATAGCCTAATGAAGCATTATTAAAGTAATATAACAGGGCTAGCTGTGTAACGGCCTTAGAGTAGTAATGCCATCTTAGGTTGTACATTTCCTGTCTCATGCTTGAGAACCTCAGCCTGAAAACTATCAGGGATGTAATAACTTGCCTAACCTGTAACAAACTACAGGCTAGAAAATTGATAACCAACCTCAGGGGAAACCTCTGTTATTCCAAACTGGGATAAACTCTGATGCAAAATGTTGATATTAAGGGAACGCAGCACTTCTTCAGATGGGAGTGCCTCGGAAATTCCTGGCTTTCTGTTCAGTGGGGACACAAACAGTTCCACACAGTTCTTCTTCCCCTAGGAAAATAAAAAAAACCATACAGAATCATACAAAGGGTCTGAGATTAGATAATCTCTTCTGTCTACAAATTATAACTATAATTCCAAAAACAAAAACATGGAATATAAAGGCTGCAACCTGCTCTGTGAGGAGAGTATACCTATTCCCTGACTCCTTAAATCCCAGCTGACTGTGCAAGAAAATACAAATAACATATGTGGGCACATGCGCTT